GAGAAAGATGAGGGTGACATGATAGCAGTGTTCCAATATCTCAGGGGTTGCCAAAGAAGATGGAGAAGCTATTCTCCAAAGCACCTGAAGGCAAGACAAGAAGCAATGTATGGAAATTAACCAAAGAGAAAAGCAACCTAGAACTAAGGAGAAATTTCCTGACAGTTAGAACAATCAGTGGAACAACCTGCCTCGGAAGCTGTGAATGCTCCAACACTGGAAGTTTTAAAGAAGAGACTGGACAGCCATTTGTCTGAAATGATATAGGGTTTCCTGCCTGAGCAGGGGGTTGGACTAGATGACCTCCAAGGTCCCTTCCAACTTTATTATTATTGTTATTATTATATTATTATCATCATCATCATCATTATTATTATTGGTGTTGTTATTGTTGTTATTGTTGTTATTATTGTTGTTGTTGTTGTTATTACAAGGCTTCTTACCATCCGGTATGTTTATAGACCTTCAAGAGAAATTTTGGTCTATAGAGCAGTAGCACTTGTAACACAAAGATGGAGTACATCAATATAATACTATATGATTTGCAAGGCAGATGTCTTATCTAAAGAAAAGTCTTTTATTTTTTCAAAGATGGAGCCTTACTATGATGTGGTGCTAGCTACCAGTTTGAATGCTTCAAACATGATTTGGACCAATTCCTGGAAATCACAGAGATCAAGGACACTTAGCCTTGATGGCAATGTCATTGTCTTTGAAGGGGAAACCATTAGGCTCCCTTGTACAATTGATTGTACAGTCCTGATTGCTGGGCTAGATGGGCCATAATACCAATCCATCAGTGCATTGCTTATGTTCTTATGTAAAATGCCACCTCTTGATTGGATTACAAGAGGGAAGATATGTTTTATATGTTCCATCTTATTATTTTGCTGATTAAGACTAAATAATAAAGTTTTATTATTTGTTCATAAAGGATGACATAAAATGAAGAGATTTTAGACTTAAATATTAGAAAGGATTATAAGTGTCTGAAATTGACTTTTCTTGATGAAGGGGAAAGTCATTTGTTTTTTTTCCCCTTTGGCATATTTTCCTTCATCCCTTTTTGCTTTTTCTTTCTTTTTTGTATTTTTCTTCATTTGTATTAAGGTTTTATATTTGTATTTTTAAACTTCAATAAACCTTTTTATTAAAAAAATTGAGATTTGTTGGAAGCTTTTGTTCTTCTGAATCTTTCCTTTAACACTACTGGATATGAGAAAGAAAAGAATCTAAGCAATTCCCAAAGCTGTGGTGTGAAATTTTACAGGATTCAAAAGGAAACTACTGCACACCATATAATGAATCTCCTAGTTCAGGGGTTTCCAACCCCCAGTTCGTGGAGCAGTACCGGGCCACGGCATGCCCGCAACCGGTCTGCACAAACAAGCAAAGCCCCATCCGTGGGATGCAGGCAGCACACAAAACCACATACTCTCTGGTCTGTAGAAAAACCTTTCTCCACAGAACCGGTCTCTGGTATCCAAAAAGTTGGGAACCTCTGTCCTAGTTGGCATTATTTATTAATTCATCTAATGTCTAAGTTCCCCAACTCCAAAATGATCCTGATTGATATCATAATTAAGAACAAAGATAAAAGAAAAACTATTTCCTGGAAGAAGCAAATGAAAAAGAACATTCTATTATTCTATTATCGTGTTATTCTGTTAGATTCAAAGATACTTTTTTAAAGAAACAATGTAATGAATTTGGGAATCCTCACTTATTAGACTATTTGTTTTGTTAAAAAGACACCTAAGGTATTTGAAGAAGTTATCAGTTAGTTTAAAATCCAAAGATTAATAGCTTATTCATGAAGATAATAAACTATATTTTATTTGCAAAAAAACCAGTCTTGCTAACCATCAGCTCCTTCACTTTAGTCTTTCTAGACCAAGAATGTTTTCTACTTTGTCGAAAGTCAAAAGTCAATGGTACAATAAGTATGAATAAATCCTGACGTTGTAGTAATTGTTCAATTTGGGAAGAGCAGATTAATTGTCTATAAAGGGCTTGCCCTAACTAGTACTGCAGCAAAATGTAGTGGACCATATCCAGAAAGGTTTTATTAAAAAGAATCAGGCCTTTTGTCAGTATTAGACACAACCACTTGTTTGTCTAGCTAAATGTCATACAATTCCATAGAATGCCAGATATAAAAGGATAGCTGTTTGGACAGTTTCCCAAATACTTATTGCTAAGAAGTAGCTGTAGTACAACTAACGCTAGCTATTAAATTCAGAATCCATACCAAACCTTCAACTTTATTGATGATTGTGAAGTAGGGACTTTGGAAATTTACCATATAGCTCTGGTCAAAGCAGAAATCTTCAAGGAGTCCAGCCATCTTGACAAGGAAGTTAGTGATGTTAGTTTATTATCTTGGTTACACAAAGTCTTCCATCTTAGAGTCATTGATCTGAACAAGAAAGGAGTTGCCCTTTGTAATATACTAAGGTTGGGGAATTAAAGACTCTTCAGATGTGTCCATGTTGATGTTAACAGTTGGTAGTTGTAGTTTCAGCTGCAGATTTCTCAGAATAGCTACTCCTCTACCTCTATATTGATCATGTCTTTAGCGTATGGATTTCAAGAAGGAGGACAAAGCCACTTGTGGGTCAGATGGAGCAACTCTACAGGCTAGATTAGGCCTATGGGTAGAGGTTCTTCATTCTTGCTGTAAGATTTAAGTCATATGCTGATAATAACTCTGAAACCATTCACTGAAATTTGCTTGGAATATTCTTTCCTTTCCTTTTCTATTGACAAATTTCATGTTACAAAATTGGTGGTATAGATTCTTTCTGAAGTCCAGCATCACAAGTGTCAGGTTGGCTCACATATCCAGGAACATATTGGTGCGCTCATTTCAATAAAAGTTGATAAATCAGAGTTGTTTAAATTAAAACACCAGATTGAGATTGACAAGGACTAGCTGTCCAGATCAGAAATATTTTAAATAACACTACTATTCACATTCTATCAATTTATGTAATTATTTTATTTTCAATGATTGACTGAAGGCAAAGTCAGTTTGACGCAGTGCTAGGGAGATGAGGCATGGAGGGAATACAGTAATATCAAACCTACAGTATATATTCACTACTTATTCACTAGAATAAGTAGGCCTTATTCTCATGTAAATGAACAATGTAGTACAGATACTAAAAATATTACAAATCTACATCTAATTTCATTCAACAAATTTCTCTCAGCAGGATAGCTTTCATCATATAGTTTCTATAAATGGTTATTGTTCTTAGTATAGTCCTTCTAAAAATTGTACTTGGATGTGGAATGTTAGTATTATTTTGATGTGAATTTCAAGGTCTCAAAGAAATGATCACATTCAAGCTAGCATTCTTTACAGATAGATGCTAAAAACTTTTCCATGGTTTTTCCATACAATTTCAATTAGATGTCCTGATTTGTGTATTTTATCACAGAAAAAGCATCGTATCAGCCTCCAATTCTCTTTTTAGAATATCATGATTAAAAGAGATTATATACTAACTGTACATAGAAAGAACAAATAAAGTGGGTTGTGGAAAAGTAATAAGAATCTACTAGTTATAATGCTCTAGTTAATCAACCTAAATGGTTGTTTTGATGAAACATCTGGATAACTTTTATCTATTTTTCCTACTTTCATGTCAAACGTGGGCTCCTGAATGTGATAATGGTATCTGAGTAGTTGCAGAAATATGTGTTGTGCTGCTGTCAAAATACAATTTTGAAGCATAGGTTTAGGATTATTATGTAGTCATATTAGAATTACAGTCTAAAATCAGCTATAAGCACATGAGAAATTATCTATGAAGTTGTTTTCATTTCAAGATTTCATGGGCAATTAAGATGAACATTTGCATCCCAAACCAAGAAAGCTGAACAGGAACAAGTATAGTTTTTGATTATAGAAGTAGTAAAAGATTATGAAAGCAATAACTAGAAGTGATATGACATATCAAAGCTAATATTAAAGGCAGTAAAGCATAACAAGGTAAGGAGGTTGAACAACAGAACTAAGGAAAGCATGTTATTTACTTGAGGGTTACAGATAGAGTGCTTAGATGTTGAGAGTAAGGTGACCCATTATTTTCACTGATTATAGGAATTTCTATTTTGAAGTTTCTGCCCCAACAGCATATATTTTCAAGTGTTTTCTTTCTCTAGGACCTGGAGAACACTCAGACAATTCATCTACTCCAGATGCTATATTCCCTACAGAACTCCTTGGCTTGTACTTTTCCTTATTTGAAATATGACACCTGCAATATTCACCTGGACTTAGTGGGTCTATGTTGGTAGACTTAGTGGGTCTAAGTTGTTTCAGAGGTACCTGAAACAAAAAGTAACATAACACACCTCACCATCAAATTGGATGTTACCACATCATTAAACATGGTCTAAAATTACCGAACTGCTTTATCTATTTCTTACAACAAAGCAGTTCAACTTCATTACTACCTAGAATCTACCTAGAATCTACAGAGCTATCTTCCATGAATTATGGTTCTCAGTTTTGAAAAGCATGCTTCACCTAAAGGAATTTTAATCCCCATTTGTGAGATGACAGGGAGAGGTGTGTCAGTGATTCCAAGCAAAAGACAAGATAGAAACTCCATCAAGCTATAAGCCTTTGAGCAAAGCATATATCCAGTAGAGGCCCAGGCTGACTTGATAAAAGGCACTGAAAACTATCACCAGCTCTGCGTATTTCATATCTACGATAACATTGATGCTTCTGGCCTCAAAAGAAAAAAAAACCTTTCTTAAATTTTACTTAGCAGAAGAATTGCCATTGCGTCTGCTAGCAAAGATCAGTTGTTGATATACTTCTCCCTTAATGAAGATACAAGCTTTGGGTTGTTGTTTTTTTTGTTTTGGTATAATGAAATCTCTCCAGGCTATATTGTCAGCTTGGTGAGATACCCAATTACTGTTGCAGAAGATACAAAGCAAGCAAGGGTTCAGAAAGATGGGGAGTTTGCATACTTTACCTGTTTAGTTCTCATTTTGCAGTCTGCTGACAGATTGTTGTATGTATAATGGGCCTGTGTGACTCCACAAAAAAGAACTGCCACTATTCCTGAAAAAAAGAAAAAAACACACACACACATTAAGCTCTTTTCATTTCTTCCTAGAATGTATTTGAAAGGAAAATGGGAGGATGGCGGGGGGGAAGAGAAGAGATTTGCCTGCTTGAAAAATAATTGAACAACATTAACTGCCTATAACAAAGCCATAAGAAGGTGTTATAATAATTTGCTTCAATGAACTAGTATTTAGCTTTGATCAAAATAATTTGAGGTCAGAAAGCTCTTGCATCTTGCTGTAATGTGACCTGCTTACTATAGATCTATACAGCTTTGTTGTTTGAAAATTGTATAACTCAGATCTGGGCATGTTTTGGTCCCTGGGCCATATCTGACCTTTTGGCTGTTCCTGTTTGGCTCATGTGAGGTCAATCAGAAATTAGAAATCAAACATAAATAAGTGGTACACCATGCACGCAACTGAGTAAATGTAAGTTCAGCCTATTGGCTCGGCGATCCACAACAGTCCCCATTTCTCATGTGGCCCTTTGGGAAAATTAATTGTACATCCTTGGTCTAACTCAGGGGTAGTCAACCTTGGCTCTTTTATGACTCGTGGACTTCAACTCCCAGAATTTCTGAGCCAGCTAAGCTGGCTCAGGAATTCTGGGAATTGAAGTCCACGAGTCATAAAAGAGCCAAGGTTGACTACCCCTGGTCTAACTGCTCAGAATTGCTATGAAATCATCCAAATACAATACTGATGTTTAATAGGATAATATCCTGGTCTGGTATATTCTCAATTGGGTCAGTCCATTGCAGTGTGCACAGGAAACCTGGTAGACTTTTCTTATCAGGCTGCCTCCTAACAACATAATACATCATTTGGTAAATTGGGGCTCCTTCTTATATTTCTAGCTGTGATATTATTAACACAAAGAGAAGGACTGCTGTCTTGTAAAATTTTGGTGCTAATTGAGTCGGCAATTCAAGAATAAAAGCAACATATCAGGTTCTTTTCTTAGATACATTCTAGATTGCATGACAAAATGACTGTGTAAAAATAATATCACCAACATTAATTTCTATTTTACACACCAATTAGTTATTGTCTATCCAGAAATAATTCACTTGACTTCACTGGTATCTACTCTCAGGTAAATATGAATAAGATTGCAATCTGGAACTGGGTTTGCACAACAGACACAGTTAAAATGTGCAAATAGCTACAATGTGCTTTTACAGATAAAAATTGCATTACAATGGATTTGCAACTGCATTATGTTCTTGACAATTTTATTAGTGAAAATATTTAATTTCCTTCAGGTTTTATTTATTTAATTTCCTTCAGGTTTTATTTCAAAATGCTATTGCTTACATAGCAATTGTTAAAAGAAAAAATAGTCATTGGTTCTCCTCATTAAAAGTTTGAGGAGCCTTCACTATCTAGAACTAAAAATAATTCCTTCATCCTTTCTTACTAAGCTGCATGTTCATTTTCAACAAAAAAATTTAAAGGTTCAGTTTTAAAGAAATACTGAAATGCTGAATTGATTGGTGCAACTTGGAGAAATAAAATTGTGGCTGCAGAAATAATACTCTTATTTAGTTGTTGATTACATAAAAAGTAGCCATGCCCAGCCTGAAAATCAAAAGATTTATTGTTCTGGATAATCTATTTTCAGATGGTGAAATTATCATCTGTAATCCCTTTTTAGGTGCAAATTTTAAAGATGATAGATAGTATTGTGCAAATATGTTTTATTATGCGTTATATATTTGAAGGGTGGGTTTGCTCCTGCAAAAGATGACATATGACCAAGGACAAAAGAACCAGCAGGATAACCTACAAATATACTGCTACAATGATATCTCTGAGTCATAATGTAAATGAGGCAATATATTTCCTAATCTGCTGCTAAGAAATTTTTATTAATATATAAGCAGTTGAAAAGTTGGCAGTTTTGTTTTTCTTTTGAATGAATCATTCAAATTAAATGAAATTTTAAGTTTTATTAAATCTACAGCCATCCAACACAACCAATCCTGGAAGGCTTATTATAAAAGCAACCAATAATATTCTCTCCTCTGCAAGATGGCCAAAACCAGGCATAATTGTACAAAACATTCAACAAGGCAACATGTCAGCTTAGGGGAGAAGAATCAGGTCCTTAGGACTTGCTTAAATCATGTCAGGTTTTGTGCAATATGAATACAATTCCAGGCAGAAGGCACCACCAAAAAGAAACCTCCACCTATTTCAGGTAATGACAAAGGCCTTGTCAAACCACCCACTAAATTCTTGACAAAAATCTGTCTCTGAAACCCAGGACCCTGGCTACATACAATATATAATAAACCCAACTGATGCATGCCTACAGCCCAACTTCAACAAAGGGTTTCTCTTTAAGTTATATGTGGAGTAGACCCTCTGGAAGCCATTAATGCTTTCTGATGACATCCAGCCCCTAACCTTCCAGCCCAGTCTCAAGGTTGGTGTCACACTTGAACCTCCAAGAGAAGACCTCATCCACAAATCTTGGTAAAACATGCCAGGTCAATGCCTTATCAAGGATAAAATCATTTGTCATCATTAGTTGGAGGTTGGGATCACTGAGGATTCAGTGAGCTGGTTTCAGATTGAATTCTGGGGACCAGAAGGAGAATCACCTGAAGATATCAGAACTGCCTTCCCATAGGTAGTCACCCTTAAATTTTAACCATATCTTTCCTCTGCCTGCCATAGATATTATGGTGTGTCCTAGTTGACCCTCAGGCTTCTCAAATATCATGCCATTGCAATCTCAAACACAGGCCCCAGTCAACAAATCATCTATCAACTTAATTGCCTAGCCTCACCTACAAAAAACACAGCTGCTTCTTCAACATAGTTCTCCAAGAATATAGCTTAAGGGTCCCCAACCCCCAGGCTGCACACTAGTACTGGCCCATAGCCTGTTAGGACCTGGATTGCGCAAGCGGTGGATTAGCAAAGCTTCAATGTACACGTGCATGTGTTCTAGAATTAGCACATAATACTAATTTAACCAGTTCTAGATAAAATTGCTAAGCTGACCACAAGCATCATATTTATTTCTTTAAAGCTCTGGACCTGATCTCTGTTGCAGTAAATTAAAATTATATTATAAACTACATAATAATTATAATTATATTACTTGATTTAAGGTAATTTAAAATCTGAGTTTGATGTTGGTTTTACTTTTCCATTTTTCCTTGTCTGGTTTAGCTTTTAGAATTTAGGAATGATGTTTGTCTGTTTTTGAATCTTAGAACTGCTAAATGTATTGATCCACATTGATTACCTGCTCTAGAGCGTTCTCAATTTGACCAAGATGTTGATTTTCAGGTCTAATCCACTTAAAGCTACTTATGATGAAGCAATGAAGTTATTTTTAACTCCATTACTTCTGAAAGGATTGTATATGCTGTATTGATTGCCACCATGGAAGAACTAATAATGAACTAAATATATAATATGAAAAATCTGTTGAATAATCATGGGTTTAGCTGTACAGTATGGATTTTCCTCATCAAAGAATATAATAAAAATAATTTGTTCTGAGGTCCACAAATAATTGGGAGAAAGAAAATGGTATAGGTTCAACTAAATCTTAAATCTTATAACTGAGAAATGTGTTAAAATGTTTGACACATTTATTTATATAAAAATTACTTTGCTCTGGAATTTTCAACTGATTCTTTTGGGTAAGAAAAGTCCTCTGGAAATAATCTGGGCAAATTTGCATCACACCAAATCCAAGGTGGCAAGATTTCTCTATGAAGTGTTTTAATTAGAATGTCTCACACAACTGGATGTCAGAGTGTTGCTTTCAGGCGTGTGTCAATTGAACTGTGCCAGTGAAAACTGGCAAGCTTGACAGTACTTGCAGATTTTCATCAGAGAACTCCAGAAAAACATCAGAAAAGTGACTGAGTGAAGGCAGTCATATAGGGACATAACAATTTACCTTGACATTTGAGTACCAACATTTGAACCTTGTTCTAAATGAAGATAAATTTTACATGTTTATTTTGGCTAGGTATTATCATTCCCTTTAACCAACCTCATGTGTATGAACTATGAGCTTTCTATTTTGTAATGGATTCTATGGAAGAAATTGAATTATATATTCAGAATGCTGTGAATTCATGCAGAAATAAAATAAAATAAAAATATAGGTACTAGAATGGAGCTGAGAGCTTCCTTAAAAATATGAATAAAAAGAACTACTAGTGAAAAGGATTTCAAAAGTGATAAATGATTTTTCCCAGTTCCATAAAGAACAGAGCAGGAGAACCATAATTCTCTTTGGTCGTATATCATAGGCATAAGCTTTCCTCCACAAGATCTAATATACATATTAATCCTGAAGTATACTATAAGTCAAGGAGTATCCCATTCTCTTCCAATAGCGCTTATCAAGAAATTAAGTGGGATGCTACATTTGTAAAATATATAGCATATGAAAGATGATAATGATTAAAGATTCCTGAAGAATCCATTTGGAAGCCGTTTCATAAAAATAGTTTATGCATTTACAGTATCTCCTATATTCACAAACATCTAACATTAAATTTTATTGCACAAACTGGAAAAAATAATTGTAATAATTTGAGCAATTTCTTTTCCAATGAAGGTTGTAAGGTTCTGTAGGATTTGTTTAAAAAAAATTCTAATTGGATCTGGAATATCCACACCTTGGCTTCTAAATTATTTTACATCTGCTATATAAATGTAAAACCCATATGTGAGCACTATAACACTATAATTACTGTTATTCCATATATATAAATGAACAGGAAAAAGTTTCTAAATCATATAAAAGAAGAAACTTCAGTATGTCACTTAAGTGTGAAAACATGATTTTACCCTATGTCTTAAGATCTAAAAATGGAAATGTATGCTTAGATTGGCCGTATGTCCAGCAACAAAATTATCATAGAAAGCTTCTCTAGTTTCATTACAAGAAAGCCAAATTTTCTTTTAATGATAGATTTTAAATAAAAATCTTCAAACATTTCTAAAAAACAGGAATAGATGAAAGTATCCTATTCCAGGGGTAAGACTAATTTTTATAATTATATAAAATTTATTTATTAGATTTGTATCCCGCCTTTATTGCTCTATGTTTTTTATTAGAAATTAGTTTCATATTTTTTCACTATTTCTTTCATATGAATTACAAATATTCCACTAATTCAATTCATATAATTTATTTCATAAATGTAGAGAGATTTTCCATTAATTTTAATACTTTCTTTTTCTAGACTTGTTTGCTTGCTTTCTGTGAATGAGAATAAATTAATGTGTATGTGTATGTATATATACACAGATAAACACATACATATATATGTGAGGGTTATTGTAGGTTAGACACATCACCACCAGATGGATTCATAGCAGGCTGACTGGCCATATTACGTGTGTGGTCCTCAATGGAACTGCATCTACATGGAAGGACATGTGTAGTGGGTTGCCCCAGGGCTCTGTTTCGGGCCCAGTGTTCTTCAACATCTTCATCAATGATTTGGATGAGGGGATAGATGGGGAATTCATCAAATTTGCAGACGACACCAAGCTGGTAGGAATAGCCAACACTTCAGAAGATAGGCTTAAGATATAGAAGGATTTGACAGACTTGAACATTGGGCGCTATCTAACAAAATGAAATTCAGTGGTGAAAAAAGTAAGGTTCTATATTTAGGCAAGAAAAAACAAATGCACAGGTATAGTATAGGTGTACCTTGCTCAATAGTAGTAACTGTGAGAGGGATCTGGGAGTCCTAGTGGACAATCACTTAAAGATGAGCCAGCAGTTGTGCTGCAGCTGCCAAAAAAAGCCAACACAGTGTGAGGCTGCATTAACAGAGAGATAGAATCAAGATCACATGAAGTGTTAATACCACTTTACAATGTCTTGGTAAGGCCATACTTGGAATATGGCATCCAGTTTTGGTCACCACAATGTAAAACAAGATGTTGAGACCTAGAAAGAGTATAGAGAAGAGCAACAAAGATGATTAAGGGACTGGAGGCTAAAACATATAAGGAACGGTTGCTGGAATTGGGTATGTCTAGTTTAATGACGAGAAGGAGGAGGGGTGACATGATAGCAGTGTTCCAATATCTCAGGGGTTGCCACAAAGAAGAGGGAGTCAAGCTATTCTCCAAAGCACCTAAAGGCAGGACAAGAAGCAATGGATGGAAACTAACCAAAGAGAAAAGCAACCTAGAACTAAGGAGAAACTTCCTGAGTTAGAACAATTAATCAGTGGAACAACCTGCCTCTAGAAGTTGTGAATGCTCCAACACTGGAAGTTTTTAAGAAGACACTGGACAGCCATTTGTCTGAAATGGTATAGGGTTTCCTGCCTGAGCAAGGGGTTGGACTAGATGACCTCCAAGATGCCTTCCAACATCATCATCATCATCATCATCATCATCATCATCATCATCATCATCATCATCATTATTATTTACCTAGATTCCCATCACAAAATTCAAAAGCAGGGGATAAGAAAAATAAAAGGAAACTTAACTGAAACTAATTTATATTAATACCACTATAACTTTCTAATCTTGCAAACCATTCTGGCTTCCATAAAATTCCTACACTGCTTCACACATTGCCTTTTTTCTTGAAATTTCTTACATTTTTCTTTTGAGGAACTCATCAAATTTATTCATAAGATTTTCAATTTTCCTCTATCTCTTGATCCATTGATTTTTTTATGTTTTATTTAATCAATCTTCATTCACATTCTTGATACAATTACATAAACTCAACAAGCTTTTTCATAATAGTCGCTTGCATTTGTATTCAGTCCACATTCATTCAATAGCCATTCATTCTTTACTATATTGATTGTTCCTTTATCAAATGTTTTAGTTAGCACATTAATATACTTCATTCACCTATAAGTTTCTCTTGATGTACTTAGCTTTCATTTTTATATAACAAAACAGGAAAAGATATCCTTTTACACACATTTTTGCTGTTTTTGATTAATATTCAAACTATATACAGTACTACATATTACTTTTCTACCAGTATTTTTACATCCTAAAACCTCTCCATTTCTTCATCTTTGTTGAACACTGCATCAAAGTACACAATTCCACACATATCTTTGTATGATTTCACACATATCTTTGTATCACAGTAAAACGGAACCTCCTAATTACCTCAGTGGGACGAAATACTTACCTGTAAGGCCAGCAGCTTCAGCAGACAAGAAGGCACTCCATGATAAAAGGAAAAACAAGCCAGTTTCCAACATGGGGAACTCACACAGTTTAGTAAACTTTGTCAAGTGCTAAAGGAAAAAACAGCTAAGGAAAAAGAGCAATTGTTTTAGTTTTCAGACTTGATTTTGTAACATTAAGTACAGTACTAGTATGAAAAGAACTCTTATACACTCAACAGTATTTTGAAGAAGTGAAGTTAAAATGAAGAGTTGTGATGTTCAAACTGCCACTGAATAATCATAAAATTCCCTTTATCCACTGATTCTCAACGGGTTGGGTTTATATAAGTTACTGAAAATTCTTAATCATTGATATGCTGGTTGAAACAATTAGGCAGTTAAACATTTCTGGATCCAAGGGTGAGACCAGAGCTATATTATTTGGGATTAGTAGTAGCCTTTGAGTGGATACAGTACATGAGTGTCATACTGTTAAGTGTATGTGTGCCTATGTTTGTGTATGGAACTAGATTCCATTAAATTCTAGTTAATTTAAATGTAATTGACTATAATTTTAAAATAATTATGATAACATTTTCCCATATAGTCAATAGTAGTGAAATTATAATTTGGAGCCCCTTTTGTAAATGTTCTGGTGGCTTTTCTCTCTCTTGCTTTTAATATGATGGGGACATCGAGCAGTGAATGTTTGATGTAGATCAATTCATACATCCATTGTCTGTGGAAAAATATAAATCCAGTGGGTTCAATGGGAATAAGTACTGTATGAGTCTTTTTCTTTCTCAGAATCCTGACTGTATACAAAACTAAGAAAAAATATCTTCAAAAGATATGACCAGGTCAAAAAATTATTCATGCTGTGGATAATTTCCCTTTGAATTTTAAGAAAAGAGATATTTTAACTACAAATAATTTGCAGTGATTAACACTTTCCATTTCCAACAAGTTTATGCTTTTCAGAGTCTATTGGAAAAGCTTAATTAATTTTGCTTGTATGAATATTTATTTCACAAGCAATTTCAAGGAAAATATTCCTGGATATGTTTATAACTGTTCATGCTTTGAAATAATTGACTACATCATTGATTTGGACAGATATAACTTTAATTTCCCATTATTAGTTCTATTCATATTATTCATAATTCTAGTTCAACTTTGCTTTACAATGTTTTCAGGTCATAGAAATAAATTTGTTATAAAGTCAAACGACAAACAGGCCGATCAACTCAGAATGACCTCAAGGATTATAATATTTTAAGCTAAGGGGAAGGTCATTGCTAGCTTAGTGGAACCTATTTAGTGTTAATTTAAAAAGTAAAAATAGGCATATTAAGATTTTAGTAAATCAATGGAAAAAATATTACATACAGACATTTTGTCTAGAGATAATAATTTCATTCCATTGTGTTAAGGCATTATTTGTGCAGTATGTTGCATATATTATCTAGAATCCTTTATGTTCACTCAATTGATTACCCAAGGCAACATGGCAAAGTGTAAAATAAGCACTTTATATTAAGATATGATAACATCACTGACTATATGGTTTCTTTTGAGTTTTGGCTTGTGTTTAAATTAAAAATTAGTGCATTAACAATCCATAGAAACTTATCACACTTTTCTATGGCAAAGAGCCAAAAATCATGCCTCTGAAAATTGGTAGTTCTGCCACTGAATTTTAGTGGTACAGCCTGGAGATATTCAGGGAACTGTAAGAGCCTTCTAACATTTATTTAACAGCATCAAATAAAATTGATCTATTCCAAGGTGAAAAAGGCTTTGGAATTTGGCATGGTCCAAGACTGTCAGCTCATAGACAGCTTAGATTCAAGCTATCCAAAATACGTTTGGATTGTTTCTGCTGACTGAGGTGGGGTGTCTATACAATTTGTAGATGAAGATTAATCTTGATGGAATTACCTTTCCATGATATATGCTAATTAAGGTTATTAAATCTGGATTAAAAACAAGTAACATTGTATTATCCGCTCTATAGTTACATAGAATATACATTATTATTTTTATTCTTTCTATAGCTTGTTAAAATTCTCATTAAATGAATTTTTATTTACTTAATAAGCTTCTGCATTTCTGTTTAACAAAATAGCAGGGCCTTTGGCAATAAGAAAACTATCGTATAAAAAATTTGTTATGAGAGTATATTTGGAAAGTTATGGATCTGGATATGTTTATGCTTATGCAGAGTTTCGGGAGGGGCTTGGTTTTTACCTCCGAAGCTTCATTATACCTTCTTTTCTGTATATTTTTTAAAGTCTTTTAAATATCTGTCAGATTTTCATGCTACTTCAGAAAGAAACTCATCCAGCAATGAGAGAATATAGGATGTGTGAAAGAAAGAACTTTTGCAAATGTCAGTTAAATTTCACAGCCTTATGTTGTATAGTTAAACATAATTTACCCAGAGGCTGTGAAATATTTTATACCTCAATGAGCCTATAATTATATATTTTATTTTAAACAAATCACTTTGTTTTTCAGAGTAGCTAACAACATAACCCAAAAATGTGAACCTGAAAAAAACTATCTTCCTAAACTAGGATGAAAAAAAACCCACTGATAAAGTAGCAGCAAAACATGTGTTTTGGCATAAAAATGTTTTAATTTATCTACTGAAGGATAAAGGCACAACCATTGTATTACTGAGGAGACTTAAAAAAATATAGTTTTCAGGAGAGTGTTCCTGATAGTATTTTGTGACAAGCAAGCAAACCATCATAAAGAATTCTGTTGCCTTCCCTTTCCTGGATCACAGACCATTTGCATCTAATGAAGTGGATTGTGATCTGGGAAAGTTAAAGGGGTAATAAACTAGTCTTTACCGTGCTATGTTATACTTCATTGCTTTTTTAAAAAATGCAGTGAAGCTAGTGAGGCCGTATATTGAAGTGGAAGACAGACACAAGATCTTTTGCATTAGCAATTTATAGCATAAACCAGCCTTTGTTAATAAAGAAAGCTTTACACTACACAGTGATGTCTAGGTAATGCTGTAAATTACTACTCTGGAGATACTCCATAAAGGGAACACATGCTTTGTTCCTTGCTCACATTCCTCAAAGAACTGTCCTGTCTTTGAGCATTTTATCTCCACAGGGGCAAAAACCAGTTACTTATAAATTGTTAACTCCTCTTTCTTTTATAGCAATAGCTCTTATTCTACATTGCTACAGAAAAGTGCCTCCTAGAAGCACAGATATTTTTTTTTGTTTGTTTATTCATTAAAATTCTTCTAAATTTATATTAAAAAAACCAACTAAAGTTCTAATTCAAGGCAAAATGTATCATTCTTTTCCACAGGAGACATTCACTGACAGGCTGCCCTGAAAGAAAACAGAAATATGACTGCAAGAAAGAGAATCAAAAAAATGTAAGAAACTGTCTTGGTTTTAAACACTCTAAATGTCTACCTTGTTGCAGACACTGAGTAAATATATTAGTTATTTTTAAGTCATCCAGTCTTTTAACTATGGCTTGTACAAATTCCTGATATGGATACTGACTAAGTAATGTCATCAGAAGAAATAAATGAATGAATCATATATAACTTAAGCAGGAAGATGATTATAGAAGGCTATTTACCCTCATTTTCATTCTTCCCATCTGTTAACACTTCCAATGGTCAGATTAACAAATTTGCATATGCATTGAAGCTCATCTGCAGCTGCAAATTATGACAGAAATTACTTTAGAGCCAATAGAGATTATATTTATGGCATCTCTAAAATCTTAAAACACAAAGTCTTATTCGATGTGAAACATGAAATGGTTGCATTTTACTGCACCTGATTTTCCAAACATACTCTAATTTGGCAACAAAGGATATTAGTGCAGTGACAATTGCATAAGCGGAGCCCATAGAAAAAGATCCAGCAAAGATCCCTAAAAAATTCCCCACTGATTGGAAGAAGGCAGCAGCATCAAAGGTGTTGGGATTCTCCTTGGGACTGTAAATTGATATTGAACTGAAATAAAGACAAAAAGAAGAGAAATATAATGAATTTTTCTCACATAGCACAGATTCTAAAATCAAGAGCTTAAGGATGCACTTTACTAAAGTCTAGCAGTTACTCCTTGGGGCTGCTATTACATCCAAATGTTATGGCATAACAAAATAAGGTTTATTTTTCAAGGCAATATCATTTGCCACTGTCTCATTTTGCCAATCTGTAAACATATGTCACAGTGAACATAATTTTCAACCCAACTAGACGTCAGAACTTGGTAGATAACATAAAAAATCTACAGGTGAGTTAGATGCCTTTGAATTATTTATTGGCTATATGTATTCTGTATGTTCACAAATATTCCTGATAAAAAAGATTAGTTTTATAGCTCAGTCACACATGCACAGTACAAATTATGGAGCATACAAAATCTTCAGCAGTGATCTCATAAACTGTTACAGTTGTGTCATTCATAGCTTTACCCTTCATAAACCAAATTTGGAGCATGTCAACAGTTTCACAATATGAAGCCCCAGGGAAACACAAATCAAACATTTCCTTCCAAAGCAAAGAAATAATTATCTCTACCAGAGTTCTTTTTTTTTATGCCCAAGTCTTTGGCTGCTGACATCAAGATTATATCATTATGGAAAATTAATGCTATGCCATACTGGGAAGATCATCTAGTAAAAACATTTTAATTTCCTGCTCAATAGTAGATATGAGTGACCTAGAATGTTAATAATATTGTCAGATTGGCATAATCTTTTCATTATAACATTAAATGCAACTTCATCTGCACCAAATTCTAATTAAGAATCTTTTTTTTTTCTTCCTGAGACCCTTTTATTTTAGTCCTTTTTCCTGATGGATATGGAGTTCTTGGTACAGGATTTCCCAAAAAGTTATATTGCCATAAAGTACTTAATATCTTTAATATTAAATATGATAAATTGTTTCAAATTGGATGAAGAAATATTAATAACTATGCTGATGATATGCCTATGTCCAGTCTCTTCTTAAAAGCCTCTAGTGATGGGGTAGCCACAACTTCTGAAGATAATTTGTTCCACTGGTTAATTGCCCTCACTGTTAGGAATTTTCTCTTTAGTTCTAGGTTGCTTTTCTCCTTGGTTAGTTTCCATCCATTGTTTCTTGTGCAGCCTACAGGTGCTTTGGTAAATAAGTTGGCCCTCTCTTCCTTGTGGCAGCCTTTCAAGTACTGGAAGATCCTATCATGTCACCCCTGATCCTTCTTTTATCTAGACTAGATATACCCATTGCCTCTTCCGCATGTTTCCAACCAATAGTATCCTATATTGGAAAATAGAAAAGAATCTTATATTATGTCATAGATATAATAAAATTTCAGTTTATGCAGGCAGAGTTCCAAGTTTTCACTCATATAACTTCATATAACAGAAGGACGGCAAAGCTGGTTGACATCTAGGAGAATCAGAATTTGGGCAAGAAAGTGAAGTCTCTATTTTCTATTCTACACATTACTATTTTTAAAACTATAGGAGGTGTGGATTGCTATGTTATTGTATGTTACTAGTTTAAGGGTATAAACAGTGTAAACTATTCTGCAATTGTTTTTTTTAATAATTCACGATAGTCCTTGCGGTACACATAACATCATATTTTATATTGTGGCAATTTGGTATACCTGTTTGGAAAGTTTTTCCATGACAGAGTATAACAATGGCAGGCATATAACTCCTCTTTACTTAGTATTCCACACATCCTTAATCGTATTCAGTGATACAAAACCACAATATACTTGTTTGGCCTCTATAGTCTTATGTTTCTGCAGCAGCTACAATAATAAATTGATACATTTATACCATCAACATATTTTTTAATTTCTCAGAGAAGGAGAATGCTTGTGGGAAGTTAAAAGTTGTTGCACAGCCACAGATAATTCTGAGACAATCAATGTTTCAAAATTGGATTACTGCAATGAAATATATACATTTTAACATAACATTCTGTTCCACTTTAGAAGCTTCATTTCCAACCAAACCAAACCGACAAGAAACAGAATTCTCTAATGTCACAATAGATTTCTAACTTAAGTGTTCCTTATCCTAAAGTAGTGGTTATTGTAAAATGGGCCCTTATAATTATTACCTCTTATCCACGCTGCTTATAGTATCCCAGAATAATATATTATTACGATTTACATTCCATCTTATTTACTACTTAGGATTCTTGCATCACATTCTTTAAGAGCTACTATTACAGCATCTTGTAAAGTTGCCAAAGGCCAAGGCAGTTTATTTTCATTGTAGGTTGTATTTTACTGAAGAGGAACATTCTAAGGGCAGTGAAAGTGTTCCTGCTGGGGTTAACTGCAGTTCAGGAGCATTGACTTTGTTTGAACCATGATGGGAAGGCACAAATAGTTTTCTTCTCTTGTGAAGCAAAAATCCTGCTTAAAACATCAGTATGTCCGTTTTTGTTGCGGGCTTTAAATAGAAATGGTTACCAACATCTATAACTTCATACCCATGCCTAGTTAAGCCCTGAACATAGAGGGACATAAATTCTTAAGACATGATGTGTTTTCTTGGCTTCTGGTCTTTGAGTGTGCAGAAAAATATTTTTAAAAGATACACAGAAACCCTGCATATACAATGGCACCCGAAAAAGGACTTACAACTGGTCCTTGCACTTAGGACTGTCTTAGCATCCCCATGATCAAAATTCAGGTGCTTGGCAACTGACATGTGTTTACAACAGTTGCAGCATCCTGGGGTCATGTGATGGCCATTTACCATCTTCCCAGTTGGTTTCTGACCAGCAAAGTCAATGGGAGAAGCCAGATTTGCTCAACACCTGTGTGATTCACTTAACAGCAACCTTAATAACTGTGACAAAAGGTACAACTGACTTAACAACCATCTTGCTTAGCAATGAAAATCCTTGTTTAATTAGGGTTTGGATCAGCATTAAAGCATATATGAATTAATGAATGTTGTTTTGATCTCATGGCTGAATGTGGAGAGGCTGAGCAAGTCTATCTGTATAATACAATCTTTTAGTTACTATTATTATGATACATTTGATCCTGCCTCCACTCTAAAACATTTATAACCCTTTCCCTTACATGCAGAGTGGAGATTTTTCAAAGGATTTTGTTACCCAAGATGCCAAGGAACAAATCAGAATTTTATTTTGTAGCTAGTACAGTCATAACAGGAAAAAAGCCACCCCAGGTCACAACTCACTAAAAACTGTCATTATGATGATTGATGTAATTGCAAATAGAATTTTGCATCCTGAAAAGAGGAACAAGATAGCAAAACTGCATGTAGAATTGCTCACTTTGTCTTGTCTTTTTGTATGTGTACACATATAACATATAGAGAAACAAACACTGAAACTTGTTTGTCAAACTGACAAGATGGTGCTGTGATGGACCAGAAAAAATGAGCCTAAGGTTATTAAACCACTCTATCTTTGGTTATCCATATGTAAAGTTACCGTAAAAGACATTTGTTCCTAGTAAAGAAACCGAGCTATTTTATTCAAAATGATTGGCATTGTCTGCATGATGTGCTATTCTAACAGTCTTCCTGCCTTCATGAATGTTAGTTCCACTTCTTCAGTTCTATAATATATGGTTGCAGCTGTTGCCATGGCAATTCATTTTTTTCTAAAGAGTTGAATTGAAGACATAAAAACCAGCTGCTATCACAAGAATGTAGATTATGTTCTTATTTCTAGCATGAATGAAAAAATGGATGCCTGATCTGGCCTCTATATAATAGCAAAATAGCAAAGACTTTGTGATGGATATTCAGATTCAAACCGTAAGTCAGAAATTAAAATGGGATGAATGCTTTACAGCTTTTGCAAATTATCCTTCGGAAATATTATGCCAAATATCTCTGCCATATTTTTATTCAGTTTTTCAAATCACTAAGTACTTTTCATTACATATAACTGCAGAAATTAAAATAATTTAGAACCCTGAACAGCTCCCCTCTAAGGAAAGGCTGAAATATTTGGAATGCACGTGATGAGACAGTTTAAGAAAATGGTCAAGTAATATTTTTCTTTCACCAAAGTCTAGCATTGATGAGATCAGCAGCTGAGGATTTAGGACAGAGGAAAAGAAACATTTCTTTGTACTTCTGGGAATTCAATCCCACAATATTTACTTACCAATATGGACACATTTTAACAGAGAATTCAACAAGCTTAGGTGACATAAACCTAATAGTATCTACTAACTAGGTTGACTGCAATATTATCTATTCATTGGACAGATTTTGATTTTGCAAGCAGCATTGTTAACCCTGGTTCATGACATGATATAAGCCAGTGGTGGCGAACCTATGGCACGGGTGCCAGAGGTGGCACTCCGAGCCCTCTCTGTGGGCACTTGCGCCGTCGCCCCAGTCCTAGGCCTTCAGCTGGGTTTTATAAAACCTTTTCGCCTAAGGCCTCTGCCTCCGTGTGCAAAAAAAAAGTTTCAATCAATCAGTCAATTTCAACTTCTCATGGGAAAAAAAAAAGATCTTGCAAAGTTGGAATTGATTGATTAAACTTTTTAGTCCCACCCAGTCTGCCGTTACCAGCGCAGCTACGCCCACCTAATGGACCACACCCACCCAATGGGCCACACCCACCCGGCACCGGACGATGCATAAGTGGGTTTTGGATTGCAGTTTGGGCACTCGGTCTCTAAAAGGTTCGCCATCACTGATATAAGCAATAAAGGAAAGTATTTTTTCTAAATCAATGCTTACTTTGATATAATTTTTCAAAAGCACCTGAGAATCTGGGTTATCTTATCTTTTTTTCTATAGATTTGCAGTTACAAAACATAATATCTATTAATTCTAGTCCCAACTTTGGTCATAACCGAAGGACTATCTGTACTGTTTATAAACAGGGAGAAAACCCCACACTTACTCACCCCTATGATGTTATCTAGTTGGGGAATGAAATATTTTCAAACAAACCACTTAGCTCAAATATCACCAAGGACTCCAGAGTTATATATA